ATGGCACGGCTGGTTAAGAGGCAAGCACCACAAGGAGCACCAGCAGAGGAGATTAAGGAGGAACACCTTTTGGCTTTCATTGCGAAGAAGGAATATAATGATGATAATAAATGCAAAAAAAGGCTCGAGGAATATTGTGAAGAGTTGAAGAAAGCAGATGAGAAACTAGAGAATGTGGATAAAAAAGTTAAAGGACTTTGTGAAGGGAAAGATAAAAAATGCACAGACCTGAAAGCCAAAGTTAAAAAAGAATTAGAAGATTTTGAAGGTGAACTTGATGCATTGTCAGATGACATAGAAGATGAAAATTGTAAAAAATATGAAGAAAAATGTGTACTTTTAGAAGAGACGAGTTATAGTGATATTAAGGAAAACTGTGTCAAGTTGAGGGAAGGATGTTACGAATTGAAGCGTAAAAAGGTGGCAGAGGAGCTTCTTTTGAGGGCGCTCGGAGGGAAAGCTAAAGTAGTGAATGAATGTCAAGAAGAAATGAAAAAGGTTTGCCCAGTGTTAAGCCGAGAAAGCGACGAATTGATGTCTTTTTGCCTTGATCCGAGTGGAACGTGTCAAGAGCTGAAAAAAAAATTGGAAGAAATTTGCAAGCCTTTACAAACAAAATTGGAGAAAGATTTAGAGGAAAAGTGTCATGAAAGACTTGAGAAATGTCATTTTTACGGAGAAGCGTGTGATGATTCAAAGTGTAACGATGATAAGGAGCAATGCAAGGGAAAAAATATTACATATAAAGCGCCAGGATCCGATTTTACTCCGGTGAAACCGAGGGCGTCGTTGTTGACAATGATTGGGTTGGAAGATGTTTATAAAAGAGCGGAAAAAGATGGAATTCTTATTGGAAGACAAGGAGTGGATCTACCAAAGACGTTTGGTGATAATTTTCTGCAAGATCTTTTGCTAGTGTTGAGCCAAGATGAGAATGATAAGAAACCAGATAAAAAGTGCAAAAAAGCGTTAGAAAAATGTGATGCTTCTAAGCATTTGGATACTGATTTGGAAAAGTTATGCGGTGATAATAAAGAGAAACAAAATAAATGCGAAAAATTACTAAATATAAATGAAAGATGTACAAATCTCAAATTAAATCTTTATCTGAAAGATTTGTCTACGGAATATGATAAAGAATCAAAAGTTTTATTCTGGAGAGAGCTTCCAACCTTATTTACGAAGGGAGAGTGTGCAGAACTTGTCTCGGAATGTTTTTATTTAAAAAATGTGTGTGAGGATAATAAAATTGATCAAGCGTGTCAAAATGTACGAGCAGCGTGCTATAAAATGGGACAAAATAGGATGTTGAATATGCTCTTTCGAAAGGAATTGAAGGAGAATCCTGATAATATAAAATATTATGATGAGAATCCTGATAAATGTCAAAAATTTGTCTTAGAAAGCTGTACAAAACTTAAAAAATATCTTCCACAATGTCTTTACCCTAAAGAACTATGTTATGCGGTTTCAGATGATATTTTCCTTCAATCCAAAGAGTTAGGTGTGCTTTTGGATGATCAAAGAGATTTTCCATTAGAAGAGGATTGTCTTGAATTGAAGGAGAAGTGTGCTCAACTTGAAACTTATTCAAATTCGAATTCTCAAAAGTGTGCAACATTGAGAAGGCGCTGTAAATACTTAAGAGTTTCAGAGGGATTTAGAAAAGTATTTTTAAAAAGAGAAGATGATTCGTTAAAGAAAGAAAACTGTACGAAGGCATTGCAAGAAAAATGTGATGCTTTATCTAGGAAAAGGAGGAATCCATTTGGGTTTTCATGTGCTTTGCCAGAAGAAACATGTAAATATATGGTAGCCCGTACAAAAGATGAATGTTTTTATTTAAGTGGCAACATGGAGGATGAAAAAATTGTACAAGAAATTGAAAACAAAAAAGCAAATGAAACAGCACTTGAAGAACTCTGCACAACATGGGGTAAATATTGTCACCAACTTATGGAGAATTGTCCGGATGACTTGAAAAAAAAAGAAGGTGATAAAGATCAAAACTGTGATGAACTCGAAAAAAAATGCAGTGAAACTTTTGAAAAGTTGAAATTGAAGGAGGAGCTGACTCATCTGTTGAAAGGCAGTTTAAGCAACGGTGATCAATGTAAAGAAGCATTGAAGAAGCCTTGCACTGAGTTGGAAAAGAATAAAACATTCGAAGCTCTGCTTGGTAATTGTGATGATAATACCAAGGGAAATGTTTGCAAAAAATTAGTTGATAAAGTAAAAAAGAGATGCCCTACTTTAAAAATCGAACTGGAGAATGCGAAAGAGGAGTTGACAAAGATGAAAAAAGAATACGATGAGCTCAAACAGGTGGCAGAAAAATCTACAGAGGCAGCTAAGTTATTGCTATCAAAGTCTGGAAAAGCCGCAATGCCAAGTGGACAGGATAGCAATGGCTCTGTACCAGCACCACCAGCAGAGCCAGCACCAGGGACACTACCACCACCACCATCAACTGACGGAACGGTAAACACGCCAGCTGGAGGATCAGGGACATCAGCTGGAGGATCAGGTACACCAAGTAGTGGAACGACAGACTCTGCAAAACTTGGACTCGTTAAAAGAGCGTATGTAGAAGGAGGAGTATCAGAAGTAGAGGTAAAAGCATTTGATGCAACGACGATAGCATTGGAATTGTATTTGGAATTGAAAGAGGAATGTAAAGCTTTACAACTAGATTGCGATTTTAGAGTGGAATGTCCAGATACTAAACAAGCTTGCGAAAATATAGACACTTTATGTAAACTGGAACCATTAGAAATTAAGCCTCATCATACAGAGACGCAAAAAGAAATCTCAACCACTACGACGACCACTACGACGACCACTACCACAACTACGACTACGACTACTACGACTACTACTACGACAACCAAGCAGGGAAGTGGAGGAAAAGTAACAGAAGAGTGTACAATGATACAAACAACAGATACATGGGTGACGAGCACGTCATTGCATACGAGTACGACAACGAGTACGTCGACAGTGACGTCGACAGTGACGTTGACCTCGATGCGCAAGTGCAAACCTACAAAATGTACTACTGATTCAAAGAAAGAGACAGACAAAGGAGGAGAAGAAGAAGAAGTGAAACCAAATGATGGGATGAAAATAAGAGTTCCTGATATGATTAAAATAATGTTGTTGGGAGTGATTGTTATGGGGATGATGTAA